GTTTACCTAATCTTCTCTAGGTGGCAGTCAAGTCACAGGATTTTAAAACTAGTTGAAAGCCGCATTAAGAATGCTCCAGGGCTTTCCCAGCAGGAGTTTTGCTTGTCACAGCGGTGGTGGGAGTGTCTAAGCCAGGACACTGATATAACTGAGGTGCAATAGGTTGAAAACAGAGTGGTGCACATCTTAAGGCTGTCTATTGGGACAAGAAGGCATGGGACACGTCGAATCTAGAAAACCAAGGGAAACAAAACTCATGGACTAAAATTTGATTCCATTCTGTGTTGCCAGGTAGCACATTTTTTAATGCATTCCATCCTCTTTCAAGATTTTAGACTTAAAAGCAGAAGCCAGATGAGCCTATGTGAAGGATAACATGAATTAGGAAGTCTTTGGATGTAAATTTAAGACACGAGCAAGCCCTTTTTTAAATTACTATTTTATTTTTTATATATTTTTACATCATTCTTCATTTTTTTTTTTTTTTACAATTTATGCTTTGAATATTCCATTCCCAGCCTTCTACAACCAAAGGGCTTTGACTTATTTTAAAATATGACTAAAGCAAAGTGTCATTAATGCAAATTACTTTTGGATGAGTGCAGGTAAACTTAGATATTGTGCTTGGTGCCCCTTAATAGTAAAAGTAATCAGTACTTTAGGACAAGAATCTTCAACTTGACCAATTTAAATAATGACTGATTGATTGTGAATCTTGAGTAAATTTATAATGTATCATGTATTCAACATGGAACAAATATTTTTTGACTGCCTACTGTGTACCGAAGTCTGTGCTACGTGCCAGAGATTTAATAGTATCGGTCCCTGTCCTGAAGCCTCCTGAAACATGAACTGTAAACTGAAGCCAAACTGTTACAGGGTAGGGAGAAGGGTACCCCAAAACCCCCAAATCTGCCCACTCTGAATAGGTTCTGCCATCCACTGCAATAAGACAAAACATACTCTAGTGCATAAGACCTTCAATGGAAAGGAACTTTAAAACACTTAGTGTGCAATACAGAGAAGGGGAAGAATATAGTTTCTAAATCAAGCACCCAAAGTTATGCATCCTCCCGTGGATAAATGTCTAGCCAAACAGGGTTGGCCCAAAGCAAGGCCACTGAGGCCCAAAAGCCTGCCGCAAGTCTAAGGCGCATTCTGACAGGGACCCCATAGAAAGGGCCAGAAACAAGCAGACAAGTCTGGAAGGAAAAGAGCAAAATCAGAATCAAGATAGAAGTTGCCATTGTTAAGAGGAAGCTCTCAGAAACCAGATTTTCTGGATTCAAATCTCAACTTCTCTACTTATTAATTCTGTGACTTTAGGCAATTTTTATAAACTCTCAGTTTCTTCAACTGTAAACTGGGGATGAACAAGGTAACCTACTTCAAAATAAATAAATGAATAAAAATCATATGCAAAAAAAAAAAAAAAAAGCTGACATTGTTAACCTCCCCATTGGTCTTTTACCCACATCTGTTTCAACCAGTCCAAGGCCAAGAAGCCAGCACATTATCTTCACATGTCTCTCTGCTCCAGTGACTCCTCTAGATCTCCTTCTAGCTCTCCATTCTGCTTCCTTCCTTCTCCAGTCTCCTCTCCAGTTCTCTGCCTTCCTACTCAGCTCTACCTTTCCTCAGGTGGGGCAGGAAAACTGGAACCTCCCCTTTTTCTGGGGAGCATCCTGTTATAAAATGGTGACCCCTGCTTTTAGTTTTATGCTTCCAAGGTAGACTGTAGAAGAATTGAGAAGGTGTAATTATATTTACCACCTAGATCTTTATTCAGGGCTAGGAATTAATAAAATAATAATGGAAATACCAACAAATCGACATCAGTTAATTATATGTCTAAATGAGTTATGTGTTGAAATACTTTACACTCGTTATGTAAACCCAGCAAAGTGGGTATGAAAATTTACATTTATGGATAATAAAACTCAGTGGAATAAAAGACTTTCCCAGCACTTACAGCAGAACCATGATTCCAGTTGTATCTCTCTAACTTCAGGCCTTTAGCACTTTCCACCACCTGATGCTGCCTCTACCTGGAGCTGTCCTATTTGCATTTTTCCATTTTGGAACACCTCACTTGGTTAAAGTTTAAGTTGGTTATAGGACTGTACTTAAGATTGATCTAAGAGTTATGGCACTTCCTAAATTTTCATTCTGAGTAAATGAAAGGAAAGGACATTATTGGTAAATATCTATGTTCACTTTAGTTAGGTAGGGAATTATTTAGTTAATATTTGTTTGTCTTGAAGTATAAGGAAAATGTCATGTGAAATTACAGAGAAGCAATAGAATCTAAACATAAACAAGTAAAACTATCAGGATTTTCTATCTTTTTTGTGTTGAGTAAATTTCCTACACCAGTGTTTAGCAAAAATAAAATGAGAAATATCTGAGACTAAAACATCTGCAGATTATTCAGGAAAGAACCTTAACTGAAAGTCCTCTGAGAACAAAAACATTTTATAATTATGAACTAATTAATGCGGTGAGGTATCCACAAGCAAGGTCAACCAAGAACAAGTGAGCAGGACATATAAGGAAGTTAAATAGAGGACTGGAAAAAAGACAGGCATGATATAAAGTTAAGAAAATGAAACAAGACTAAATATCATTTTGCATGGAAGAAAGTAGTTTGAAAATGGTGTGTTCTGATTTTTGAAATGTTTTCCTATATATATATATGTGTATATATATATGTGTGTGTGTATATGTCATAAAGAGTTGTTAAGTGCTTCATTAGTAAGCAATGTGAAGGGCAGAACTTAATCCAGGAACACATTTTGAAAAGTTTTGGGCTTAGAACTATGTGTTAGTTTATAATTTCACAGATTGTCCAGAGTTTTGAGTTGTATCTAACAGACTTTGTAACATTGTATTATGGTTATATCTAGCTCTAAAACAATTTTCCCTTACATTCTATACTTTAAAACAACCATGTCATTTTGTACATGATTTTGTGAGTCAGGAATTCTGGAAGTGTCGGTCTGGGAGAGTCAACTGGTCAATTTGTAGGATCTACCCAAAGATGGCTTCTCCATCCGCAAATCTGAGGCTCTGGTGCTCCTTGACCTCTCTTCCTTTGCATTCAGCTTCTCAACCCCAGCACCTTCATATGTGGCCTGGGCTTATTGCTTGCAGTAATCTCCAGCTAGCAGTTTAGAGTTCAGAGTATTAATCACAAATCACTTGTCCTACAGGCTGGTACTGGGTCATATCACCTCTGACCATGCCCCTTATGGTGAGAGCAGTCACAGTTCAGTTTAGATTCAAGGGGAGGGGAAATGATACTGAACGCCAGCCTCAGTTTCCCTCAGCCAATAAAAGGAAATAGAGTTTGAGGACAAGGAAAGTAGTTTAGTTTGTTGACAAACGGAGGAGGGCAGCAGACTCGTGTCTAGAAGACCACAGTCCTGCTCTTTGGCAGAGGGCAGGGGTGTTTATACAAAGGAGTAAAGCAGAAGGGAGATGGGTGAGGGTCAGCGTGTCCCTTTGATGCAGACATATGGAGATTAGCGTTAACACCTGGTGTTTAACTTCTTAGAAGTTTAGCTTCCTTGTTATCCTCTTAGGGATGTCCTTTTTCTTAGAATGCAAGAAGACAAACTTGTTAAGTGCACCAGCTAGGAATGCTTATCTGACAGGGCAGGAAGAGAGACCCGTCCTATTTCACTGTGTCAGAAATGGATCTCACTTTTCCATGGAAGGCTGGTCAATGACTTTGCAACTTTAATCCTCCATGTAGTGACTTTTGAATATTTTAGTTTCTGGGGCTTTCTGAGAATCTCATGAAAGTTATCATGAAAAATGCACTCTTAACATATTTTGTGTACAGTTTTGGTGGAACTATTTACCCTGAAGATTTAAATATCTAAAGTTAAGCTGTTTGATGAATTTTGGAAAAGTATTATAATCACTCTTACATCTATTAGTCTGTCCTCACACCCCTCTTACTTTGATCCTTTTCTTTCCTCTTTAAACTTTCTTCATCCCCTTCCCCAATCCTTAACCTTCTCTTCCCTTCCCCTTGAGGTCTGTCTTTGAAAAGATCTTGGTTGTAGTTCAGCAGTTATAATTTCACAAGGTTCATTTCTCTCAGGGTAGTAATAAACCTATGAAGTATGACTGGGTCAATATTTCTCCAAATGAGTTCTTTTGTCCATAATTTATACCTGGCAGCAGACATTCTGTGACTAGACAGAGAGAAAGGAAATAATCTCCTGGGACAATATTTTAATAGCCAGATGTCATTACCACTAACCAAGTTTTAGGCTTTGCACACGGGTAACCTTGACAGCTGATTGCCTCCTCCTTCCCAAACTGTCTACCTGGATTTTTTTTTTTTAATCAGCCATAGTAAATACAAAGGTTGTTTCTCAATATCGTTCTGTACACATGTGATTGCTGTATCCTGCAGGAACTGAAATTAGGCATTCCAGATTTGGGAATTTTTTTTTTTTTTCAGAAACAATAAAGGGCGCTTTTGGCTTTGTCTTTTTATGAAGATGCTTTGCATCCTGCTCACATGCCTTGTAATGTAATCTCAAGACACAGCTGTTGTTTCAGAGAGTTCATTCATGTCAGCAGCAATTAAAAAGTCCTTTGTTTTCCAAACATGCTTCCCCAGCTTGCCTTGAAGGGCTTTGCAAACAACGATTCCTGCAGCTTGAGGAAAGGAGTCTTTATTATGTGCAGCAGAAAGGGTGTGCCATGTTCATTTTCTGTCTTGTTCTGTGATCTATGGCAGGTACCCATGTGCATCTTCTTGACAATGAAGTTTTAAATATAGGAAATAGTCATTACTTTGGCACTTTGAGCTAGGACCTCTTGTGGCAGTGAGCTGGAGCCTGCTTACTACCGGGATGACAATCAAATCATGCTCTCGGTATCTCTGTTACCCTGTTGTTGTTTTTTCATTTTATATATCAAATTGAATGTGTCCTGGGGACCGGAGCCTTAATAACCTGCTTTGCCTCTTTCTCAGGTAGATGAGCTTTCCAGAACGCTATCTTCAGGGCTCCTTGTACATGCTTTATGCTTCAGTTGTGGGCATCTGAATAATGAAGACTTGAAGGGGAGACATGTGATGTGGTTTCAGAGCAATGGAAAGGCAGGTTCTTTTCCTGTCGGTGCCATAATCCTCCCTCACAAGTGAGTAAATTTATTCCTTCTAGAGGATTAGAAAAAGTATGCATTGCATTGTCTTATCTAACTTGTCCACCTGTGGAGCGGGGTCTCCTATGCATTAGGATAAATACCTGCTGTGAACATTTGCAAATATTAGTGTCATTAATAGATCTGTATATCTTTCAGATTGCTGCACACTTATTATTACTCATTTTAATTACTTATCTCTCTGTGTGTGTGTGTGGGGGCGGTTAGAGAACTAACCAAATAACAAACTCTTTCTGTTTTTATTTGATTTCTAGACTTCCTTTTGCTTTGGGGGAAGTAGATGGAAATAGGGATAGGCAAGCAACAAAGGGATGCTAATTTATTACAAGTTAAAAGCCAGGTTGTTGCACAGCTGTGGAAAGTGTTTTTCTCTCACTTCTTAAATAATCAGAATTAGCAACTGGCATCTCAAATGAAATTATAGGGGCTCCAGTAATGCAGTTGGTTAGCATGCAGTACTTACATGATAGGATGAAATGTTTCCCATTCAAGTTCCATAAGTCTGCAGAGTCTGTAAAGTTTGATGACTTTATGGTAAAGAATGTCAGACATCAGTGAGGGTAGATTTTAAAATGTGACGTTTTTGAGACCACTGAGAAAGAACCAATCACAAAGAGATCAATGGGGCTTTTGAATAATTAGAGGAAGAGAGTTTATATGCCTTAGAAATGGACCAATTTTGGGGGGGGCAGTTTTCCCCCCTCTGCAGGCACTATGGGCTTGGAAGTCCTACTTTATGTCTATTTTCTAAATATCTCTTTTCTATATTCAAAATAAACTTTTCCTCTTGCTTGCTTGCTTGAGCTTTGGTGAAATTCCTTCTGTGGCTTCCTAAGACACAAACTTGTAACCCCCTGGTGGTCTAGTGGCGAGAACTCAGCGCTGTCACCACTGTGGCCTGAGTTCAATCCTCAGCCAGGAGCTAGACCCATCAGCCAGTAATCACAGTCACATTTTGAAAGTCTTGCAAGCCAGTTGGTGCACACATCTTGGCTCATATGGTTAGTGTGACACAAATATTCCATAGCTGGGAGGCCACCCAGCCATAGAGTGGCCTCCCCTCACTGCCCGAGGCACCCAGAGAAAGGCAGCCAGAGCAAGCCATCCTGTTCTGTCTTTCTTACAAAACATTTTTTAAGTTCTTCCTTTCTTAAAGTGAAGATCAACCTAAGACTAACTTTGTGGAGTTTGACTTAATCTTACATCAATACTGAAATTGCAGTTGGCATAAAAGGAGGAAGTAGCAGCAGCAGAGAGAAATGATAGCCCAGATCATGGCCTATTTAATAACAAAGCTAGGATTTGAACCCGGGTCTTCTGATTTAGTTGGTCTTGAGTATCAAATCAGAAAATTTGACATGAGTGTCCTAGATGCTTTAGCTATACTATTTGTTCTCCACCCCACCCCCCATTTTCATGTGTTGAAAATTAATCCCCAATGTAATGGCATTTGGAGGTAGGGTCTTTTGGAGGTGATTAGGTCATGAGGGTAAAACCCCCATGATCAGGATTAGTGTCTTTATGAAAATGATCTCACAGAGCTTTCACACCCTTCTATCTTGTGAAGACATGGAGAGAACACAGCTAACTGTAAACCAGGAAGCAGGTCCTCACCAAATACTGCATCTGCAGCACCTTGATCCTGGATTTTCAGCCTCCAGAACTGTGAGAAATGTTACTTGTTGAAGCCACCCTTTCTACAGCAGTTATAGCAGCTGACTAAGATACTACATTTTTTTTTACTGTTTTATTGACATTTATTTCATATGCCATAAAATTAACTAATTGAAAGTTAACAATTCTGTGGCATTTATCATATTCATGACCATGTCTTAGAACATTTCAATACTGCAAAAGGAAACCTGTGCCCATTATCCATTACTCCCCATACCCCACAACTGCCCTTACACCCCCAGTCCTAAGCAACTGCCCCAGCCCCTCATCCTAAGCAAGTGCTAAATTACTTTTTGCCTCTATGGTGTTGCCTCTTCTGGATCTTCAGAATCAATATAGTATGTAGGTTGTTTTTTAAAAATTTTTGTGTATAAGATCTGGGGTATAGGCCAGAGTGGGATATGTGTGTGGGGGCAGGTAGTGAGAAGATTCACCAGAGATAGAGTGGGGATCAGAAAAGGCATATTTACTGAAATACACTGCTAAGGGGAGCAGCATGTGAGACAGGAGAGGTCTGCTGCTCCAAATGTGGGTTAGGGATTGAACTCAGGGTGTAGCACTGATAGCCCTGAGACTTAATCCCTAGGCCACCTGGGAGGCCTGAATATGTAGTCTTTTCTAAATAACTTCTTCCACTTGTGGTAATGGTTTAAGTTTCATCCATGTTGTAGCATGACTTAGCACTTTGTAATTTTTTACTGCCCAAGTAATATTCCAGTTGAATGTACATACCACATTTATTTATGTAGTCATGAACTGATGGTCATTGAGGTTGTTCCTGTTTTTTGGCTATTATGAACAACACTGCTGTGAACATTGCAGACAAGTTTTTGCACGCACATGTATTTTAATTTCTCATGGGAATATGCTCAGGAGTAGAACTATTGGATTTTATGCATTGCATAAAATGCATAAAATTTAATATTTGGGGGATTGCCAAATATTTGAATATTTAATATTTGGGGGATTGCCAAATCCTACTAATTTGTTTTTAAAACAAAGTCAAATGTGATCTTAAAAATTTCCATGAATTAGAGAAAATACTGAAGAAAATATTTGTCTGAAGCAACTTTTGTAAGTCTATGTGTAAACAAACCATAATGAAGCTCTTATGATTTTTCATCTGTATTTATAAGACATTTTGCCAGCTATCTTTTATTCTAACTTCATACAATATATAATGGCAAGAATGCTTATTTTTGGGCTTAAAACCTGTGTCCTATTTGAGGTTCCAACACATCCCACCACTCTGTATTTTGGAATCTTTTTTCTTTTTAATATTCAATGTGATAATAACCCAGAAGTTCACAGATTTTTTTTTTAATGATTATTTATTTATTTATTTATTTATTTATACAAGCACTGGGTACAGTCATAAGTGCGGGAGGGTGAGAGAATTCACCAGAGCCAGAGCGGGGAACAGAACAGGTAGACCTATAAATACACTGCTGAGGGGAGCAGCCTGCATGGCAGGAGAGGTCTGCGTGCCATGTGGGACCCTCGCAGGTGGCCAGGGATCGAGCAGGCGCTGCAGAGACTGTGGGCAGCTTCGCAGCCCAGCGCTCAACTCCTGCACCACCAGGGGAGGCCCTGTATTTTGGAATCTTATCTTCATCACCTATCCAAGAGTTGGGGTCATACAACAACATTACTTTGTCATCTGCTAACTTCTAAAAGGGAAGGCATTTATATAGCCCAAACAGAACTCTGTGCTCATTATAAATGTTCAAAGGGCTATTTAAGTGCTCAAGGAACTGATATTTATTTTAGTTTCCAAACCTACCTATGATTGATGACCAGTGCTACAGAAAGCACTTCAAAACACAGTTCTAAGCTATGGCACACAAATAAAAATAAAAATTGGGAAGAATTGACAAATTTCCTTAGACATTACATCAATTATGAGAAAGATTTTCTTGGCCTAGATTGGCAAAAGCATGGCACATAGAAATGACAGAAAAATGAAATTTATTTTTCTACGTAACTTCAGACTGCAGGTTGCTTAGTTCTTTTTTTTTTTTTTTCCTCTCCCATGGACTCTTCAGTTCACCATGTTCCTAACTCTGTCTCTTGGAGCTGCTTTTGTGTTTTTGCTGGCAAAAGTAACATGAAGGCATTAGGGACAGGTCCACTGTGTGACTGTTTTAAATAAAATATAAGTAACACATTTCCTTCACCAACCTCCTGTGCCACTACTACCAAAATAAACGCTTTTCTTAAAAAAGATTTTACAAGTTTTACTTCATGAAAAAGGGAATGCAGCATAAAGAGCTACCACAGAATGTCAATTATCAAGCTCAAAGCAGTGCTGGGAATATGGCCCCACAGTGCCATCTTTTTCCACTTCAACTCACTTATCTATATAATTATAGTTTCATTAGCACTTGCGATTAAAAATGTTCTTAAAGTAAACATTTACCCTAAAACATTATGTTAACAACATAGAAAGATGGCTATCTATTTTTCTTTGATGGAAGACTGAAGACAGAAGATAAGGCATATAATAAGCAATTTTAGTAAGATTATATCAACAGAAAAAACTTAGCATCTTGTTGAGAACATTAAATTTTGCTACTGCATAATTTTATTAATAGCAGCTGCTCTGCCATCCCACTTAATACCCAAGCATCAATATCCTAAGATAACAGAGAGCTTGGTTTTTGTTATTTTGTCTCCCCACCCAGGGGAAAAAAAAAGAGAGGAAATTCAGCAGGTGCTATCTGGAGAAAAATGACTTACATTATGAACATCTTCAATTATTTTTCAGAGTTCATATAACTTCCTCTTTCCTCCTTCCAAGTTCTCATTATTCAAAAATCATTTACCACTAAATTATAGAAAAATAGTTTCTCCCAGAGCAGAAGTGGAGTGAAGCTGGGTACGAGTCAATACACAATTATGAGGCTCTCAAATCACCAAAAAGCTGCCTGGGATGACATATGACCTGCCTTGGTCTCCAGACACACGGCTCCAGTTTATGGAGGGTCTGGAAGGGGTAATATTTTCTCTTCTCTGGTACTGATGGTCGCTGTCATCTCAACTTCAGAGAGAATTTTTCTTTGGAAGAGTCAGAACATATTTGTGTTGGGACAATATACTGAAGAACCTCGAGCATCTTAAGAAACATTCCAAAGCTCTAATCATATTTGGCAAACAGCCCCACATCACTGGCTTTCAAGCCAAGATAACCTGGCCCGTTGTTTTCTTTGTGGTGGTGTTGTGTCAGCGACTGTTTGGTTCCAGTAGGCTTTAGAGCCAGCCAGACCTCAGTTTGGGCTTGCCTGCTGATGAACAGATCT